ATCACCCATTATCTTCCTGATTGTAGTGGACTGGACTGCATCATGCAACAAACAGTGAGGAGCGAGAAGAGTGGGATACGCTGGACAGGGGAAAAGAACCCAGAAGAGGATTTCGACTTCTCCGACGATGACTTTTGTCTAATGTCACACAAACTTGAAGATCTACAGGTAAAAACTAACAAGTTGACAGAAGAGGCACGGCAACGAAGATGGCACTTCAAGTGAGTGTAGCGAAGACAGAAGTGATGAAGAAACCCAACCAACAACAACAACAACAAGTTCCAATCACCATCAATGGGAGAAACTTAAAGGAAGTAGCCTCTTTCACCTTCACCTATCTAGGCAGCACTATTTCAACTACAGGCGGCACAGACGATGTCAAAACCAGCCAGCATCGGAAAAGCAGGACAGGCTTTCATTAACCTGAAACCAGTGTGGAGATCTACTGCACTCAACATAAAGCGTGAACAACATCCGGATTTTCAACACGAACGTCAGTCTAGTCAGTGCTTCTGTATAGTTCAGAGACTTGGCACATTATGAAAAGCATTTGCAACAAACTACAGATATTCATCAACAACTGCCACATAGTCACTCGATGCAGAAGGTCAGATGGCCGGAAAGAATAAGCAGCAGGGAACTCTGGCTGGCTGGCAACGAACCAAATAACAACCCATGGCTGAAGAAATATGCAGAAGGAAGTGGAGATGGATTGGATTGGACATACACTGAGAAGATCGTTCGGAGACATCGCGCGCCAGTCCGGGTACTCAAGTGGAACGCAATGTCAAAAACTTAAAATAATTCCAAATCTCCACAACTCCCTCAAAATTTAATTGAACTGGTGCTCATTGGTGACTAGTTTCGAGAAGTATTCGCGAAGTTCCAATGACAAGTCGTGACCGGTGTAGTCAAAGCCTGATGGCCATGAGGACAAATACTCAGCGATGACATTGGGTAGCGGTTGCGCTATATATCGTGAGCTAACAGAAGTTGGAAATATGGACAATTGAAATCTTACCCAGTAACTCAATGGTAACGTGCTGACCACGGAACCTGAAGGTGGTGGGGTGGATCCCTGCTGGTGGGGTCGTGGGTGCGCACTGCTGAGGAGTCCCATACTAGGACGAAACAGCTGTCCAGTGCTCCCAGGTTTCTTTTGTTCCTCCAACTGATGTCAGTCTTCGATGAATAACAACTTGAAATAATTCCAAATCTCCACAACTCCCTCAAAATTTAATTATACAATTTTAGTTGAAATAAAGTGGTGAATAGTATTAGCGGATTTTCCTCTCATTACTTTCCCGTGATGTAGAGGAGATTAGTGTTAGTCACGATAATAGTAATAATAATAACAATAATAATAATAATAGTGATAATAATGAATCAAATCTATCTTGCTTGTGTTCTTTTGATACAGAATTACTGAAGTTCAGACTAGTGTTTCTGTTGTGTATTTTAAGCCACTCTTTCTGTTTATGAATTAGTAATTGCCAATAGGCAGCTAACTGTATATATATATATATATATATATATATATATATATATATATATATATATATATATATATATATATATATATATATATAGTTTGTTAACCTCTGCTGAGGGTTTTTTGGATCTGCTTTAAGCATAGTTTATGATCATTGACTTTCACATTTACCTGTCTGGCTGTTTCCCCTACATATACGGCAGTACAATCTCCGCATTTGATTTCATAGACACAGTTCTGCTGATTTTCTTTAGGTGCTACATCTTTAACTTTCATTAAGTTAGAACGTAGGGTATTTGTTGTACGGAAGTAAACTTTTATATCCTGTCTGTTGAGAATCTTTCTTATCTCTTCTGAAGTCTCCTTTCTGTATAGGATTATGATAGTGCTTATCAAGTTCTTTGAATGTATCTAATTTCTTGTCGTAGATTTTCTGGTCTACTAGTAAGCTTTCCTGCTCTATCCCTTAAGCATTTAACTGCTTATTTATATTTCTTGTTCCTTGGGTTCATAATGGAACATACCGCTTCAGTAGTACGTCTCCAGTGCACTCTGTACTCTGAAACTTTTGAAACTGGCTTCATCACTGCCCACAAGCTCTCATTTCTTCCTCACACGATCTCCTCCATGTCACTTTTAGCTGGGACGCTCAACACGTTGTTTTCCGTCTGGGTTCCACTCAAATACCTGGATTGGCGCGTGATGTCCTCTATCGGCCTTCTCAGTGTGTATCCAATCCAATACATCTCGACTTCCTTGTGCATATTTGTTGCATGATTGGTTCTTGGTTGGTTGGTTGCCAGTCAGCCAGAGTTCCTTCTTGCTCATTGTTTCTGGCCACCTGAGCTCAAGAAACGAGCGTAGGCAGTTGTTGATGAATATCTGTAGTTTGTTGGAAATGCTTTTCGTGACGCGCCAAGTCTGTCAACCATCACATTGAAGCACTGACTTGACTGACGTTGGTGTTGAAAATCCGAATGTTGTTCACGCTTTATGCTGAGTGCAGAAGATCTCCACACTCGTTTCAATTTAATGAACACCAGTTTTGCTGCCTTTCTGATCCTGACTCTGAAATCCCCGTTTGTGCCACCTGTAGTTGAAACGGTGCTGCGTAGATAGGTGAAACAAGCATTTAACTAAGTTTACCTTAATGGAAATGGAATGAGAGGATTAGAAGTCCAAGTAGCGATTCGAATGGGAAGATTAAGTTGAAAGATCCAACTGATGTAAAATAAGCAAAATAATCTGGTTTACCAAATCCCTTACACTGATTGTGAGGTCACATACAGACGTCAAAGTAAACAACCAAGATCAATTAGAATAACATCGCACAAAAGCTTGGCTAAATCAAGATTAGTATATCCTAATAAGATGGGAAATTTGAAGAAAAACTCTGCTGCAGCTCTGTACACAACCACACAGTAAGGGGGGGGTGCAGAGAGAAAATTCTTAAAATAAGTTAGTTCGATGGAGGGAGAGATTGATAACCGAATCTCTATCCGTCGAACCAACACCAACAAATAAATACAGTAATAGAAATGATTCTATACCTCTCACAGATATATGTGGAATATGCTACTACCTTTGTCATCACAAACAAAGAAAGACAATTAGGACTATATAATGTCAGTCTCGAAGTTGTGGAGTTAGTTACCTGATGTGAATAGTAGAAGTGTGAGTAGTACTACTACTAGTAGTAGTCGTGCGAGTAGTAATAGTAATAGTACTGTGAGTAGTAGTAGTAGTAGTAGTGTGAGTAGTAGTAGTAGTGTGAGTAGTAGTAGTAGTAGTAGTAGTAGTAGTAGTAGTAGTAGTAGTAGTAGTAGTAGTAGTAGTAGTAGTAGTAGTAGTAGTAGTAGTAGTAGTAGTAGTAATCCCGGTGTTATTAATAATAATTCTACTAGTAATATTGATAAGATTATCACCAAGGTTGGATGTGATGTGTATGGCATTTGAGCCAACAAACTCGATTAGAAATAAGCTTTGTACATTAAAAAATCCTGTTCATGCAATTAAGCAAAATAATTCAGTTGACCAACTCTCTTCTAATGATTGTCAGGTTAATTAAACCGATTACGGTATTTGACTACGATGGGTTAGAATAAGCGAGTGAAAATCCTTGCTAAGGCAAGACTTGTAAATCTGAATAGGATAAGGAATGTTGAGGAAAGCTCAGCTATGGGTTGGGATAGGGTGATAGTATTGAAAATTAACTTAGTTGGTTGAAGAGAAAGAGACAGATTGATAACCGACTGGATCTTTGTTTATCAAATCAATCACAACTACTCACAGTAATAGGAGTGATTCTGCACCTCTACCAGATATATATATGGAATATGCTACTACCCTTGTCATCACAAACAAAGAAAGACAATTAGGACTATATAAAGACAGTCTCGAAGTTGTGGAGTTAGTTACCTGATATGAATATGGACACTGAACTGTGTCTGAATAGTACATTATCCAGTAGATGATACTGTTCCTTCACTGTGTATGATATTTATAATAAACAGACTGAAATGCAATCAATATTCATAGTCATTCGTAGGTACAAATAATTTTGGGATTAAAATTGTATAATTAGCCATACTAATGGGAGATATTCTTTCACTTGTTATGAGAGTGACTGTACAGGTTAGGGTTAGGCGAAATCACTGAAAGACTCTTATTAACTTTGGTTTCGTTTAATTTGACGGGTTGATTAGAAAATCAGATTATCTCTTCGAAATGACAATGTGTATATGTGTCTTCTGTACTCAGCATGTGAAACAATATCCGGATTTTGAACACCAACATCAAGTCAAGTCACTGCTTCAATGTGATGGTTGAGAGACTTGGCACGTTACCGTGAACATTTTCAACAAACTACAGATATTCATCAACAACTGCCGCCTACGCTGGCTCGATATTGACGCTGAAGCTCACATGGCCAGAATAATAAGAATAAGCAACAAGGAACTCTCGCTGACTTGCTGGCAACGAACCAATTAACAACCTATCACCCAACAGATATGCAGAAGGATTGGGCATACACTGAGAAGGCCGACTGGGGACACCATGCGCCAGACCAGGTACTCGAGTGGAACCCAGATGGGAAACGACGAGTTGGGCATCCCAGCAGAGGGTGACATGGAGGAAATTGTGTGAGGAAGAAATGAGAGGTTGTGGGCTGTCATGGATCCAGGTTGAAAAGATTGCAGAGAAGGGATTGTAATAGAGACTTGCAACTGAAGCGGTACTTTCCATTATGAACCCAAGGAACAAATAATAATAATGTGTCTTACTGCTTTACTCACAGACACACAATGATATCAATCATTGAATGACAACACTATGAAGTATTAGCACTGAATCATCTTGTCTCGAATCTTCAAAACATCAGTCTTCAAGATTTCATATACTAGGAGACCAGTAAACGCTTTCAGAGAACACGGTCTTCACAAGCATAAATCTACCCTTCCATTCATCCTCAATTGAAAAATACAAAAAAAAAGCCCAATAAACTTACTTTAATAATTTGTGTCATCTCGTACTCTTCAATAGTTCCATTTCTATCAATATCATACAATTGGAAGGCTAATTCAAGTTTTTCTTCTGGACTACCAGACTGTGTGATGCTTATCGCCTAGATTATGGATATAGAAAAGACATAAAAAAGCAAAACATTATGATTAACAGATATACTACTAATAAAGGTTGTAGTAGTATACCTCTGTAGCACATCAATTGTGTTATGTATATTTATATATATAAATATTTTTTATCACTTGGAACCTAGGGCCTTAGTAGCACGTCTCCAGTGCACTCTCTTCTCTACAATCTTTTCAAACATGACTCCACGACAGCCCACAACCTCTCACTTCTTCCTCATACATCTCCTCCATGTCACCCTCACCTCGAACGCCGAAAACATCGTTTCCCCAAATGGGTTCCACTCGAGTACCTGGCCTGACGTGTGATATACCCGAATGGTCTTCTCACTGTATGCCCAATCCATCTCCACTTCCTTCTGCATACTTGTCGAGCGATAATTTCTTGCTTCATCGGTTCGTTGCCAGCCAGAGTGAGTTCCCTGTTGCTTATTCTTATTATTCTGGCCATCTAATCTTCTGTATCAAGTGAGCGTAGGCGGTAGTTGTTGATGGATATCTATAGTTTGTTGAAAATATTAGGCTAAAATGATAAATTTCGTTTGACATTTCTTGTATAAACATAAATATGATTATCATATTCATTTGATATTTATAAAGAAAATAAGGTCAATGAACAAGTGAATTCTGTTCGTTTCCAAGTTATCTAATAACCTTTCATGCAATAGGATACCTGTTAGTTTATATTTCAATGACATTTTAAACTAAGTTTTGATGTGTAAACGTTTGTAGGTGGATGACAGAGTTATGATTGAAACTTTCGATATTTAGTACCATTTCAGTACTGATAATCTTCTCTTTGACATTCTTTTTCCAGTGTTTGAATAACATAAGGTTTAAGGTGTCATATCCTTGTTTATCTATCACTATATATGTATATATATGTATCCGAAATTCCTCTACGATGAGTTATGATATCACTGGGAAAAGTTGATGGAAACTGTGTAAACCACTTGTAGTCTACCACCTAGGAATTTTGTCGGTAGAACATCTTTGCCATATCTGTAGTGCAAACATGAAACCAGATATCATTCGTACCATCTGTAGGTTTGACAATAATTGTTCCTTGACCTTCAGTAATCTCGCCAACGTAACTCATACATCACTGCACTATACAAGTTACATGCATATGCCCTGCTACGTATTGGTAACAGGATGAGCATTAGGCGGTATAGTCGAATGCTTTTCGCATTATAACAGCCTACTATTCCTCAATATTCCACTGCTGCATATCAACACTATGGTTTTAGTCATGTATCTCGGCTCTAACAGCGTAGTTTTCATCAGAAACATGAAACACATTTATTCATAACCCTCTCAATATATATCCCTGAACTCCTGTCGAATGTCAAACAATGAACTGTCTCCCTTCCAACTATCACTAGTCCTGATCAGTAGATAAAATTGTCACTTGATGATAGTTTAATGACTCAATCCTAATCATTCAGAGATCGGTTACAAATGTCTAAAATACATTATGAAATAACCGATTCAAACAGGCACCAGCCAATACAAGAAGACTGGTGTACACCAACAACAGAGACGAATATGTATAAAAGACCGGTGTTAATCACTTTAGAGTTGCATTATCCTCTAACCACTACACCATTATTCACAGGTTTCTCAAAAAACATCTCATCTATCAAGCTAAGCACTACTATTGGAACTAATTTTGCTCTTGTCTATTCGATACTGAGTATCTAACAAAGACTCCTCAAGTCTCTTATCTCTTGTCTTCTCCTTGTCATTAAATCACACTTGTTGTTTACCTTGATGAAAACAGCTTGAGGTAGAAAGCATAAACTGTCTGTGGCAAGCCCAGTCGAAATTTGTTTATTTATATTAAACTTTACAACATTTCATCGCGTATCCTTCAATCTCCTTGAATAACTGTGTACATGTGGTCAACTTTGAAAATGTAAAGATCTTAGAAACACAGGGGAAACACAAGGAATATCAGAGAATCCGTAGAAGCTTGACATTGAAGTTTGTAAGCAATCAATAGATATGTAGACATAGACAGAATCTATCAACCAATAGGAAAGAAGATGAACAGTTACAAGGTCAGAGATAAGGCAAAGAAATAGCCAATAGGAATGAAGATCTACGCGATCAATGACACAATAATGAAAAGAAACAGCCAACCAATCACAAATCACTTCCTTAGGGCAAGCTATTGAATGACTCACTGAGAGGTAATGAGAGCTCACTTTTCAAACTGAAGTTAGCGGTGACAATGTTGCCTAGAAAGACTGTGGAAGTTTCGTAGTTGAACCATCCAAGTGAGGCAACGTAGCACAACGAAAATAAACATCGTTTTACTGAAATTTTAACTAGAAGTTGCTTACGGACCCTATCCATTGTATGGTTTACAGTATTCTATCATGCATCAGTATTAACTTTCCACTGTCTTCTGAATTACAATACCGGTCGTTTTTTATGAAACCCACCCCACGGTAAACATACTTTTTATGATATTGATTGATCACTGGAGAGTAACCAATTTCATATTGTCCATTCCTATGTGTATAACGAATTCTATCGATTATTTTGCAATGTGGTTGTCAAGTTAGGAAACTGACCATCACGATACACTGGCACAGATGTTAGTCAAATGAAGGCAGTCAGCCAGAAGTTCCGTGCTACCTACGTTTTGCTCTTTCTCGTACTCGGTGATAGTTTCGAATCTCAGGCAATAGATCATTTCCCTAGAGGTTGTAGTCACAACTTACTAATAAGTGCCCAAAAGCAAGAATTTTAGTCGTAACAGAGATTTTTGACGATCACCTCCATCCAACTAACATACTCTGTAATGATATGCGATCTTTAAATGCGTCACTGTTGTTTTTTTTTTAGTAACTACTCATTCCGAAGATATGAAATGTGGCTTTTGCAGACTCAGAAATTCACCGATATCTTTGAGTATACTGGTGGGTTGCCTGTTCTGTCTGATATTCAGAATAGAGATAAGGGGCAGAAGAAGACAACAGGGTAAGCGGAATCATTATATATCACTAACTATGAAATTGATGACAACATCTAGAATCATCCAGTTGATGCTGGTTCAGTTTACGCCAACATTTGACATTTTATCGTGGACATTTCATCACCAACGTTGAGGATATCAGAAAGGCTGGCAATGAAGCGTCTACATAAGAATATCAGAGTTGAAAAAGCAGCGAACCAGCATTCTCTTCATCCTCATCTATAAATCTATCCTATCAAGAAGGTGATGTTCCTAAAAATGTCGTAAGTAATCACTCTATTCCTCGTTCTAATAGTTGTGTTTAGATAAATCATACTGTCCTCTGGAATCAAAATTACAATCGGAACAGGCTGACTGGCTTCAGGAAGAATAAATCATGTGAGGATCAAATTGCGACGCTACGCATCATCATAGAATACAGCATTGAAACCCAGTCAACTCTCTACCTCAACTTCATTGATTTTGAAAAGGCCTACGATCGAGGCGTCGACTGAGAAGTAATTTAGAAGTTGCTTCAACACTACGCTTTTAGTGCCACGAACCTTTATCATCCTCATTCAGTAGCAGCTACATGCTATGCTACATGATGCTACAAGCCAAGTGATTCACAATGGAAAGATCTGTAATGCCTTTGAAGTGAAGGCAGGAAGGAGTAAGACAAGGCTGCCGCCTACATTCACCAATGATCTTCCTGATTGTGGTAAATTGGACTGGACTGGATCATGCAACAGACAACTGTCAGGAGCTGTGAGAAGATGGGCATATACAGTTTGACAGATGGGAAAACCCAAGAAGATGCTGATTTCGCCGATGATGATTTGTGTTTATTGTCTAGTAGCACAAACTCGAACATCTACAGGAGAAAACTAAGGAGTTGGCAGAAGAGGCGAATCAGCGAATGAAGACGACACTTCCTTCAGGTGAAAGTAGATAAGACAGAGGTGATGAAGATACCCAAACAACAACAACAACAACAACAACAACAACAAGCACAAACAAGTATCATCAATGTGAGAAATGTAAAGGAACTAGTCTCTTTCACCTATCTAATCTAGGCAAGGCTGCATCGTTTCAACTACAGGTGGCGGCGGCGGCAGCGGCAGCGGTGGCACAGATGACAATGTCAAAGCCACGATCAGAAAGACACACCCTCCTTAATTAATCTGAAATAATCTGTGTGGGAATCTACTCCACTCCACTCCACTCCACTCCACTCCACTCCACTCCACTCCACTCCACTCCACTTCACTGAACTGCATTCAGCATAAAGCGTGAACAACATCCGCATTTCCAACAGTAATGTCAGCCAAGTGAGCCAGTGCTTGTAGGTGATGGTTGAGAGACTTAGTGCGTGACGTAAAGCATTTCCAATAAACTACAGACATACATCATCAACAGCTGCCGTCTACGCCCACTCGATACTGAAGATTAGATGGTGAGAACAATAAGAATAAGCAACAAGGAACTGTGGCTGGCTGGCTGGCTGGCTGGCTGGCTGGCTGGCTGGCTGGCTGGCTGGCTGGCTGGCTGGCTGGCTGGCTGGCTGGCTGGCTGGCTGGCTGGCTGGCTGGCTGGCTGGCTGGCTGGCTGGCTGGCTGGCTGGCTGGCTGGCTGGCTGGCTGGCTGGCTGGCTGGCTGGCTGGCTGGCTGGCTGGCTGGCTGGCTGGCTGGCTGGCTGGCTGGCTGGCTGGCTGGCTGGCTGGCTGGCAACGAACCAACCAAGAAGCTATCGGCCAACAAGCATACAGAAGAATGTGGGGATAGATTGGATTGCATTGTATTGGATTGGGCATACACTGAAACATACATACACTGGGGACATCATGTGCCAGCTCAGGCCAGGCTAGGTCGTCGAATGGAAGCCGACGGCGGTGAAACGACGAGTTGGGCGCCTGAACTGAGGGTGAGATGGAGGAGATCTTGTTAGGAAGAAATGAAAGCTTGTGGACAGTTTTGTAGCCAGGTTGAGAAGATTACAGAGAAGAGAGTGAAATGGCGACATGTTGCTGAAGCCCTTTGTTCCACTAGGAACCCAAAGGACAAATAATAATAATAATAACAATAGTAATAGTAATAATAATAATAATAGACAAATGATATGTCTGACTACATGAACACTACTCATGAACAGGGAGATTTAGGATATCAACTGCAGAATTCAAATTATTTTTCTACAGCTAATCGAAAGCCAGAAAACTATGAATGTAAACTGAGGTTATTCACATATGTCGTGCAAAAAATGCTGCTTTATTTTTCAAAATCTTGTATTTCGTAGCCAAAAACCACTAAGTTTGGCTTCATTCTCAGCACTACATGATAAATTCCCTAGGCTTATTGAACCTGTCATCCCTACATATCAAAGAACAGAAAGATGTATATAAGAGGAAAAAGAATTTGAAAACAAAGTTTCGTCGGAAAGTCAAGCTTCAGTAGATATCAGAGAGTGAATACATCTCCACTATTGTAAGCTACTTTGAGCCAGATCACCAAAAATCATGAACCACTGATTCGTATCGTCTTTTGGTCTTCAACCTGATAGCCTACACCGCCATACATGGCTAACGTCAACAGCTGGAGACTTCATGGATGATCTGGTCACTCTGAAGCTTCTTTCAATCTAATCCAAATTCCAACAGCATGGCACGTCGAGGTATGCACAGTAAATGTTCAAACCATCACAGTCTCTTAATATCCATAACCTCATCAATTGACTTGCCTATCTTATCTAATACCCTTCACCTGACTTCAACACTTCTTACACGGTAATTCTACCAAATATGACCAATCCCATGAGGATATCTGTGATCAAAATCCTGTAACTGCTCTATTTCTTCTACCTTTGACAGCTATAATAGAAGATACAATCACCTGCAGCGAAGTATACACTTGTCCTTTGATAGGCAGACAGAGATGATATCAGTTTGGAAATGACGACCACTCTATAGATAGTAATAAAAAAGATAACAGGTGATTCACAGGAAATGGTCAGTGTTACAGATCATAGCAAGGTTCGAAACATCATCCATTCAATTTTCTATCCCAGGCTGTCCAAAGAATGGTCAGCAATACCTATCTGAAATAATATTTAAGCAAATCATCTGCTTACCAGATACATGAATATCGTCGACAGAAACGATAAATTCAAGTTAGTGTACAACTCTGTGACTACAAGTTTCTTTTTAAACTGGTTGAAACATGGTAGGCAGACATACATCTCTGACATTGTAGGATGAGTTGTTCATATCCACTAGTGGACATCATGTAAGTATACACAGGCTCTTAGAGAGGAGATTTATGCAACTTTCAACGATATATCGAAAACCAAATAAGGAAACGCTAATCCTGTTCATCTTTGATACTGTTATGACGTTAACCCGTCTGTAGCAGGATGGGTGGGGATTCTGCCTTACACCGATCAAACTCAGCTTCTGTGAGCTAAGACTGTTCGATAATTCTGTGTGGTAGACCACTTTTATCTCAACTGAACTGTTTGCATCTATCGGAAATTGTGATGTATTACAGTGTATGTTTAAGTACGATGGGAATAATAGCTCACTGAGTAAATTACCTGTGACTTTAACATGTTGGACACTTGGTAACCTAACATTTTCTATGGTTTTCACACTTTTCTGACATAGAAGTTGGTTAGAAGAAGTTGAAGGTCTAGGTGAAGAATAATCGTGTTAGTCTGATATCTACTGAAGATTATAACTGGCAGTGTGAAGTTCAACAGATCGCCTAAACAACTGACTTGGCTCCATATCATTCACATGACTGAAACTTGAAATCTATTGTGATGATACTGTTTGAAGCTTTCCGCCATTGTTCACCTTTGACGTCTATACTATGCTAACTATGTATTCAAATACATTATATAGCACAATTGCCTGGTTTATTAACCAACAATTGTTTCTCATATACTGCAGTAATTGAGTCTTTAACACGGTAAATAGTTCGAAACCAAGTTTTCTCGACACTGTCATTATAATTGCTGTTTTGAGAAAATCAGTTAGCAAGGGGGAAATCCTAAAATGTTTAATAAGAAACAGCCAACTACTAACTACAAATTAAGTAGTAAACTATAGGTAGCACATAACAAAACTTGTTAAAAGTTGAAGTATACACTAAATTTATTTCCACTTTTATTTTATTTATTCAGTACTTCTAATTAAATAAAATTAGAGGCAAAAGTAATGAAGTGGAACAGGTGTAAGTGTTGTACATCTCATCATCTGTGCTGTATATAATGTTGTTGTTGTTGCTGTTGTATATCTGTTTTCTTGAGGAAAAAAGAGAAAAGTTGGCGAAAACAAATGTGCAAATATTTCACTTTCTCTTTATAAAACATTCCTATGATTGTATACTTTCATGGAATTTTGGATATGTTCACCAAATGGATAGAGAATAAATATCATTTTAATTTGAAAGGTGTTCTTATGACGTTTTTCTTTCTCTATTCCCATATTCGCCAGTCAATAGTTCTCGTCAACGTCGACAACGATGTTGTCTTTGTTGATCCACCTATGTAGGAGACAGACTGATGAATATATCTTCAGAGTATGAATCATCTATGGTATGTAGATTATGTAGATACACCTATCCACCTGTCTGCCTGCCTGTGTTACTGACTAATCACAATGTTTCAAGTTGTTATTCATAGTAGACTGACATCAGTTGGAGGAACGAAGGAAACCTCAGAGCACTGAACAGCTGTCCCAGCCCACTAGTATGGGACTCCTCAGCAGTGCACACTCACGACCCCACCCCCCAAGGATCGAATCCCCCACCTTCAGGTTCCGTCGACAGCACGTCACCATTGAGCTAGCCACTGGATCAGAATACAATCGTCCATATTTCCAACATCCTTCACCTCACGATATAGCCCAACCACCACCCAATGTAATCTTTCAGTAACTGTCCTCACGACCATCACACTTTGCACCCACCAGTCACCACCTGTCATCAGATCTTTGGGAATACCTCTCGAAGCTAGTCACTAATGAGCACCAGTTCAATTGAATTTTGGGGGAGTTGTTGGGATTTGGAAATATTCCAAGTTGTTATTTATCGTAGACTGACATCAGTTGTAGGAACAAAGGAAAGTTGGGAGCACTGGACATCTGTCACAGCCCAGTAGTATGGGACTCTTCAGCAGTGAGCAACCACGACCTTCAGGTTCCATGGCCAGCACATTACCATTGAGCCACTGAGTCAAAATCCAATAGTTCATATTTCCAACTTCTGTTACCACACAATATAGCCCAACCGCCACCCAATGTCATCGTTCAGTAACTATCCTCTTTCTTCCTCCAACTTATGTCAGTCTACGATGAATAACAACTTGAAATATTTCCAAATCCCCACAACTCCCTCAAAATAATCACAATATATTCAATATTCATATTTTTGTAGTCTTTATACTATACGGTGTCATTAGTCGAATAGCAAGTTAGCTTTTCTCATTACTTACTTCTAACCTGAGGTAAAGACATTATTTTCCAGGATATTTTTCCTTAAGCTAACTTCTACTGTTATGATGCTGAAGAATAGTAGCTACTGAGCGCACTGTACCAATCACACAGTCAGAAGGTCAGACAAGAACAGTTCAACTGGCTCTAACAAGTGATGATTTGGTCAAAGTATATTGACTAAGACTGATCTAGCTGATAGATATGATAGACAGTGGCTAGCAGTGGAATCCAAGACATGTGTCTCATCCTAGTTAAGATTCTTCAGCTGGATATATCTGTCTCTCAGTGCATGATGTTGTCTCCACTGAGACTTGAACCCAGGACCGACAGATTCAAACACCAGAGAACTATCCACTGGACAATAATTACTATTTGCGCGATGCATATAGTTCATATAGTTCATAAAAAGATAGTTTCTTTTCTAAAACATCTTATTATCTCTCTGACACACTTGAAAATCAAAAACAATCCTTTACTGTTTCATCTATCAAAGTTTGAATAAACACTGGTTCTGATGAAAAACGCGTTGCTCATTACCTGGTAGACATTCATATTCTTGAAAATGATTGGTGGGATTAAACAAGCATGATGAGTAATTTTGATTTAACCTTGAACCCAACCAATCATCAAGCAGGCAATAAAATGATATATACTTTATACGTCAATATTGAAATCTTTACAAAGTATTGATGAGATAAAAACACTGGATAATTATTATAAATTAACTTACTGTTAAAAATTCATTGAAATCAATACTTCCACTAGCATCTTGATCAAATGTTCGAAATAAATGCTCATAGAATAATTTAGCTTTACCATCTGGAAAGAATTGTGTATACATGCTTAGAAATGTAGAACGATTCAATAGACCTGATGGACAGTCTTTCTGTCAAATAAAAAGTAAGTATGAAATAAAAATCGATTATCTTCATGAATGATTCATCATATGGAATAGATTTAAACGTGAAAACGTATATATATTCTTGCACCAAGCAGATAGAGTGTAGAGGTTATTAATTAGGTTAAACATAGTGAAACTTTAACATTCATACTGCATAACTGATTGGCAAACATTTTAGTCAGTGTTGATGATCACTTCTACAACAGGTCATCTATATACTGAATAAGTTAGTGTACAAGCTTCTGAGGACAGTATTGATTGATGTATGCTTGAAACTCTGAAGAATCACCAGTCTTCTCACGGTATCAAATAGACCTTATTGATAAGTGTAAAGAAAGTGCAAAACCTGTGGTCAGTTCTAAGGATAGGAATAGCTATCATATCTAGCCATGGTGACTAGGGTTGTGGTCGCTTAAAGGAATGTTTTGGATACACAACTTCTTCTTATGATAATATCATAACATTTAAGTTGTCAGGATCGTTATGAGCGATCAAATAGTGTAGATGCCTTGGTATAGCCCATTTACAAACGGTACTCGATTAGTTCTGCCCAACCGAATCAACAGCGGAGGATAGTAATCAGTTATATGCAAGTTTTCACGTTGTACAAGGAGTGGCCATCGTAACTCAATAGTCTGATGGGTTATAGTTTGGTGTTTGAAGTGATGTGTACTGGGCTAGAGTTTCATTGTGAAGCCAGTCATTCTCTGGGATCCAGGATTACTTGACTGATGAGTCCTAAATCAGGAGAAACACATTTTATGGATTCAACTACTGGTCAGCATTCTGTTAACAAAAATATGCATCGTTAGATGTTGTACTTTGGAAGAAACTTAAAGGAAGTAGTCTCTTTCATCTTTCTAGGCAACATTGTTTCAAATACAGGCAGCACACACAAGGCCATCAAAGCCAGCCACGATCAGAAAAGCAAGAGAGGTGTTCATTAACCTGAAACCAGTGTGAAGATCTTCTTCACTCCACTCAGCATAAAGCATCAACAACATCCGCATTTTCAACACCAACACCAGTCAAGTCAGTGCTTCTATGTGATGGTTGAGTGATTTGGCGCGCTAGGAAAGGGATTTCCAACAAACTACAGACATTCATCAACAACTGCCGCCTACGCTGACTCGTTATTGAAGATCAGATGGCCAGAATAATAAGAATAAGCAACTAGGAACTCTGGCAACGAACCAACGAAGCAAGAACCTATCACTCAAAAAATGTACAGAAGGAAGTAGAGATGGATTGGGCATACACTGAGAAGACTATTCGGGGACATCATGCGCCAGGCCAGGTCGTCGAGTGGAATCCAAAGGGGAAACGACGATTTGGGCGTCTGAGGTGAGGGTGATATTGAAGAGATTGTGTTAAGAAGAAATGAAAGCTTCTGGGCTGTCGTAGCTCCAGGTTGAAAAGATTTTAGAGAACAGAGTGGAATGGCGACGTGCTACTGAAGCCCTATGTTCCACTAGAAACCCAAGGGACAAATAATAATAATAAAATGTACATATTAATGAGATTCAATAAACTATGATTGCCTGAAGGTCATAAACCAAACTGTTAGTTAAAATACACATTGGTTCAGTTTATGACTGTCCTTGACACAATCAAATTTAAATTATCAACTACAAAGCTGATAAAGGTCGATATCAGGTGGATAAAACAGAAATCAACATTTTAAGTCATTACCTTCTGCGTTAGAAGTTTTTTAGCTTCTATTTTCCATCTCTGTTACTGACCAATCAAGATGACCTTAGTCATGTGATTGGTGCTTCAATCGACCAATCAGAATAATTCATCTAGTCTCTCAATATCTTCGTATGAATTTAAAAATAGTATATATATACATGAATCCATAATGTTATGAGAATCGTTCTGACGTTTATCGTGTAATATTCTCACGGTTCAATGAAACCTAAGGAATTCGGACGTGGAACGGAGGTGTTTTTGATATACACTTCGAGTACATCAAAGTTTCAGTATTGTTATTAATTTCGATAGTGTAATTAAAAGACAAAGTTTATCTGAACAACGTGGATGTGTGATGTATTTGCGTAATGCATATTTCGAACAATCTGATCACACCTTCATTTGTCTCAAGTCAACTGATATAACACAAAAGAGTGGGAGAATAAACACAAAGATTAAGATAAGCAGGGGATTGAAATTAAGATGAGAACAAGCAAGAAGTGATTCAGTTGGTCTTAATCATGGTAAGTTATAGCTTCTGCAAATCTCAGTATACGTCTCTGACTGACTGTCTGTATACAAAACTTTGAAAGCTGTTTAAACAAACAAGTGAGGTCTGGTAAAATGCTTGTTTAATAGGATCTATCGTATCAGCATATCAAATATGATGGATGAAGACATCAAATTACTGACTAAAATGCTTATGGAAAATGGATATCCGACGAAGTTTAGAAACCCTTGTAGAGCACGGAAGCCAACTTTATACACAGTTCCGAAGAAAAGCGTCCATATCACTCTACCATAGAGAAAGGGCAGCTGACGTGGACTGACATCAGCCATTAATAAGACATATTATGCAGTTAATCATTGGAGAAAAACCAAAACACATGCTTCACCACCAACTTAAACACTGCATCAATGATTACGTCACACCTTATTGTGTTTACCAGTTCACACGTGAGTGTGTGCGTAGTCAAGCATGCATTGGGAGGAGTAATCCAGTCATGCAGTTCAAGGTGGGAGAACATATACCTTGTAGTATCACATACTTCCCCAGAATCAGTAGCCTAGGGTTTGACGAGATTCAACATTGAGGCTGACTTTCATAATTTTATCGGACTTAATAAGCTGAAGGCACATGATCAAGCATCTACGCCATTTGGCACGCTGTCATGTCACGTTGCACTACTCACAGTCAACTCCTGTAGCCAGCATCGGGATTTTGGCACGACTTCGCAAATATACCATTCCATCTGACTACGCTATTGTTTTCGTTCTCAGTCTTATATGCGTAGGTATATTACAAGTAGGAATAATTATTGATTGACTTCTGCGTCTTTCAAGTTTATACAAGAACAATTCTTTCAACCTAAATGGCTTCAAAAACAAATAGAGTGTGAAACCATGATAACCACTGGTGGGAGATGAACCTCTTTGTCTATAGTTAAACGTATCATAGAAACAGGTCACAGAATTAACGTCTAAACAGCTTTCAAAGGTTTATATCAAAACAGTCAGTGAGGGATATAGCCATACACAGATTGAAACCACCTTTAGGTGTACAAAAACAATTTGTTTTTACACACTACACCTACTTTGGTAAACTTTGTTATCTTACCGAGATTAGGATCAACTAGGTCACTCTTCCAATTTTGTTCTCATCCCCTTCTTATCTTAATTGTTGTATTTGTCCTCCCAGTCTTCGGTTTAATACATATTGACTTGTGCCAAGTGAATGTGAGGGGGAGGGGATCAGACTGTTCAAAATGTGTATTGCACAAATACGTTGCACACTTCAGATAATCTCCGTCTCTTACGCTATCGAAACCCATAAAAGGGTCTAACTGTATCAAGTTGTTATTAATTGCCTAACTGTATAACGCACTCATAGTCACTTCAAAGATCTATCGATTAAGTCTTATAATCCATCCTGTATGCTGTTTTACAAGTCTGAGGTTATTCATGAGGTTATACTGCACCTGGACTGTTATCCTATTGGCAGTCAGCAGTAGGACGAACTTATGGTTATGGTGGCAAAGATTTCCAATGGTATTTTAGTCTGCTTGGTAACTAGCAGTGAAATCTGGGAGGCGCGTTTCGTTTTATTTGGTACTCATCAACTGGATGTACCTGCACCTCCAGTGAGTGGTATTGCTCCCAGTGAGACTCGAACCTCTTACCCTCTCTCCTAATCACCTGGAAATTTCCTTCCAGATGCTTCACACTTTCATCTTATCTTCATTCACTCGTATACTGTTTACACTTCACTTCCATCATCTAGTTCTCTGAATTCTACCACCTCTTCTTCTTGGTAGACGACGGTCGACTCAAAACCACTGTATAAACAACTTTCCGGAAAACTGCCCAAAACTCTCGGTATACATACCATCATGAGATTCCTTCTCCACTGGTCAGTAGTATCTCAACTAACATCACCATATACGTTCTATATTCGTATGAAAAGTTCTGATGAATAATCTCTGTGATTACTTATCAGTTTCTACAAATTGACATGAAGCCTATTGGTGATTACCGCATGGAAACCGGTCTTGTAGGTGTTATCCTATCACAGATTAGTGATATGTATCATTTTATGCGTTAATTTCTGTCTGATTAAGAGTACAAGATGGTAAATGGAACCCCCTTTATGGGTAACCTTGCATAATTTAGATCCTAGTTCATTATTATAATGTTTGAACGATTATTAGTTGCAGTTTACCTGTAAAATAAGCTAATTACTAATTATCAGGATTATAAAATGCCTGATTTGAGTTCGATTCCTGACGGGGTCGTGGGTGCGCACTACTGAGAAGTCCCATACTACTGGGCTGTGACAGATGTCCAGTGCCCCCAACTTTCCTTTGTTCCTACAACTGATGTCAGTCTACGATAAATAACAACTTGGAATATTTCCAAATCCCAACAACTCCCCAAAATTCAATTGAACTGGTGCTCATTAGTGACTAGCTTCGAGAGGTATTCCCAAAGATCTAATGATAGATGGTGACTGGTTGGGCAAAGTGTGATGGTTATGAGGACAGTTACTGAAAGATTACATTGGGTGGTGGTTGGGCTATATCGTGAGGTGAAGGATGTTGGAAATATGGACTATTGTATTCTGACCCAGTGGCTAGCTCAATGGTGACGTGCTGTCGACGGAACCTGAAGGTGGGGGATTCGATCCTTGGGGGGTGGGGTCGTGAGTGTGCACTGTTGAAGAGTCCCATAACGGGACGAAACAGCTACTGCCTAGTGCTCCGAGGTTTCCTTTTTTCTCCAACTGATGCCAGTCT